GCAGCGTGGTCCTGTTGGCAGCGTGGTCCTGTTGGCAGCGTGGTCCTGTTGGCAGCGTGGTCCTGTCGGCAGCGTGGTCCTGTTAGCAGCGAGGTCCTGTCGGCAGCGTGGTCCTGTTAGCAGCGTGGTCCTGTTAGCAGCGTGGTCCTGTTAGTAGTGTTTAAACGACTTGTTCAATGCTCCGTACCAAGTTTGTTGTTTAACGTTAGCATGCCGTGTTCAGATCTGAACCTTTTCTCCTCGTCTTCCTCAGTGGATGAAGGAGATGTGGCGCTCGGACTCCTGCTACTCCAACTACGGCGTGGATGGCTCCTCCTGCTCCTTCTTCATCTACCTCAGCGAGGTACGTGCTCCTCATGTGGACACGCCACGTTCTCAACGCCAAACCTTTGGTCTGCTTGTATTGAGGACGGAAGGTGACAAAATTAAAGATATAAATACACAATAATGAAATGTATTATTTAATTATTATATGCACCATTAAATCATTAAATACACAAATTAATTTCATGATTTATTAAATTATTTAATTTGGGCACATTCCACCCTCGTGTCACCATGAAGTTATATAAACTGTCGGTGTCACTCATCAAACTCGGTGGGCGGGGCTAACGCTGGGCATGTGAAGTCCATTTCTTCAGTCTGATGAAAAACGGCTTCATCCAAATACACGTAAACACAATTACCGCTTCCTAAAGTTTTTTCAGAACGTGTTTTTTGGCCCTTCGATTATCTGTGGTCGATGTGTCCGCTTGCTGTGAGGAGCAGCCAATCAGGCGTCGGAGTTGGGGTTAGTCCCGCCCACTGAGTTTGACGAGTGCGGCTGACGGTTAACATCATTTCATGGCGTCACTAGAGGACGAAGGTGACAAATTAAATAAAACTAATCATGAAGTAAATCATTTAAAAGGTACATTTCTTTGTGTATTTAATGATTTCATGATGTATTAAATAATTAAATGATGCACTTGTTATGTTTGTATTAAGTATTTATTTGTTTCATTTAGTCACATTCCGTCCTCCATACTAACAAAACAATTACTGACAAATCAACACGTCTTACATTTTGTGAATTAGTGGGTTTTTCCTCGTAAATTGATCGTTAGAGTCTTGGAGAATATCCTGAAGACCTTAATGTTCTACTTTAGTATCTAAACAAAAAATACACTTTTTCTCACAAATTTAAAAATTAACTTCATTCAACCTTTTTTCCCAGTCAATTAAAGTCTTTAATCCTAGAATTTTATTTTATTTTGGCAAATGTACTTTTAAAAATTTACAGATTACTAGTTTTTTCATGTAAATTTTTGTATGTATTTATGGAAAATCTGAGTTTTCTTCTTGCCAATTTATTAGAAAATATCCAAAAATATAAAAAAAAAGTCTGTTTTAACTTTAATTTATAACATTTACCTTTGAAATTTCTCTAGCTTTGTAGCGCTTATTATTATTAATATAATTATTATTTTAATTTGCAGCTGTATTTATAGGTTTATTTTCTCGTAGTTGTAAAAATATAAATGTTTTTGCTTCAGATCACAAAATAAACAACTTGGAAGATAAAAGGTGTAAAGTGCGAATGAAAGGCCTGAAGGTTTTAATTAGTTTTTTCAACGAGAACAAATTGTGTGCTGTAAAAAAGACGAGGGCAAATAAAGAAAGAGGGGATGCTTCACCTGGAGGAGGAAGAGGAGGGAGGTGAAGGTTCAGCCTCCGTCTCTTCCAGGGTAACGCTACTTCAGGGGACACTTTACACCTCCTCCCATTTTTTCTACTATTTACCGTAACTTCCGAACTATTGAGCGCACCTGAATATAAGCCACGCCCACTGCATTAGAGACTGCACTTGTCTTTAAGCCGTGGGTGTCCACGTGGTAACGAGATATTTACACAGGAAGGTTTTTTAAAAAGTAAAATGAGTAGAAAAAGGTTTTTTTTTCTGAACGGTGCCGGTAGCGTGGCTGGTTAAATTAATACGAGGACCCACCCCCAAGAGAGACGTGTACAGTAGTTCCTCGGAACTTGGCGGTTCGACATCTGCAGACTCACTCTTTCGGCTCACTCAGGTGTGACAGACCCCTGTGCCCCCTCCTTTCTCTTTCTGAGGCTGAGAAAGGAGGGGGTGGGGTTTGTCTTTCCTCATCATGTCCCAGAGATGCACAACAGACAGCCTGGGAAAAAGAAAGGAGAGGGGGGAGGGGTCTGTCTTATACCTGAGTGAGCCGCACGAGTGGCACGGATTGTTTAAAATAATCAGAATAAGCTGTTGAGCCCCCCCCCCAAATCAACTTCTGATTAAAGAGTTGTGTTTTTTCTGCTGAAGAAGTTTTTTTTAAATTTTTTATTGAATGATTGCAGACTCTTTTGAAGAAAGTAACACGTCAAATCAGGAAGTAGCGAGTTTGAATATTGAATATGAGCTGAAAGCCTTAACCTGCTGTGGATCAAAATAAAAAGGACGACCACTTGCTCCGAAACAGAAAACTGGATAAAAGGAGGAAAGATCAACGGATGTTTCCTCTTTCCCTCGTGTCGATCCTGCTGAACTGCCGAGTCGGGGGGATCCTGCTGTTGCCATGGCGACATGCATGTATTTTCCATCAATCCCTCCGTAGCTCCTTCGACACTCGAACGCATCGCATGTTTATCTCGGGATGAGCGGACCTCAAAACGCGCCTAATTTAAATATTTCAAATAAATCCTTGAAGGAGCGCTGCCGTTGGAGTTCAGCGCTGAGCTCGTCTTCAAACACGTCTGTGCAGATATGAGCTGCTCTGCTCAGATCAGGCGCTGAGAAGGGTTCTCGGAGACTACGACTAGTTTGAGCTCAGACTCTGTGAAAGTGACTGAGCTGTAGCTCGTGTTGTTTCAAAGTCCATTCACTGGGGCAGCCATCTTGATTTAGCTTGTCCCCAGAAGTTAACGAGTTACAGCCGAGCACCCACTGATTACTTCCTGTAAGTCTCATTAGAATTCATCCAGCAGTTCCCAAGATATTTTGCTAACAGACAAATAGGATTTCCCCATGAACACACTCGTGGTTGAAGAGAGAGAAACGACGGAGGAACTTAATTTACGTCAGATTAAGTCGCAGCTCGAACGTGTTCGCACTGAAATCTGTCATCCAGCTGAAAACCTTCAAGGTCTGCGGGGCCGCCTGATCATAAAAGACGACTCCGCATCAGAAATCTGAGGTCGAAACTCTGCGAGGTCGAAACTCTGCCAGGTCGAAACTCTGCCAGGTCGAAACTCTGCCAGG